GTATAGCTGAAATTTTATGCTTCTCGGAAAACAAAATTGTGGGAGAAATGATGTATTGACGTAAGGCATGACAGAGATTTGTATGCACTGAAAACAAGCAAAAAGGTGACATTTTCGCCGTGATTTTGGGTCGTTGAACTTTTAAAATCTCTGGAAAAAAAGGTTTAAAAAAACCTTTATTTTTAAAGCTTTTGTATTTCTTACTCTGAAGACTGAATAAATTGAATTGAATTGAAATTGAATTTCTATAGTGAGTTCGAAAAAATCGTTAATTAAGAAATTTCAGTAATAAGCATTTTAGTGAACAAATTTACTGATTATTTTACCAAAAAGGGGCGTGGCTAGAACTTTTTTTCACATTATATCGAAATTTAAAAACCACAACTTAGGAATTTCAGGATGGTCCCTATAGGGGTTAAGGGGGTGAACAACCTCTAGGGGTCGATAGAGTGGTCCCTATAGGGGCAGAATTAAGGTGGACCCTATAGGGTTTAGGGTCTGACCCATGGCGCCTGTGGACCCTGTAGGGGTCTCTCAATTTTATTCGAATAATGCTTATTTTTTTTAGTTTTTCCCATGGAAAATGCTTCTTCGCTATAGTTCATAAAAATTATCGATCAGAATGTCCCCTATAGGGGCAACTAACTGAAACCCCTATAAGGACCACTTTTGCAGTCTTTAGTGGACCCTGTAAGGGTTGATAAAGCGGTCTTTAGACAAATCATTCCAATTTTGCCCCTATAGGGACCACTCTGGAAATCCCAAGAATAGCGAGTTTTGCTACTGTCAAAATTTTTCTGCAAAAATATTCAAATTCAATTTATTTTTTCGCCCCGAATTCCTTTCGAAATAAAACCCCCTAGAGACGCTTTTCCAATCCCTAAAGTGTTCCTTTCATCAATTTCGCTAGTGAAAATCTCATAACTCTCGTGTTTTTGTGACGAAAAAGGCAACAAAATTGGGGGGATCTTCTCCCCAAGGGCCATAACTCGGCAATTTTTTTTCCGCGTTTCGAGTTTTGCTCTGGACCCTCTTTGAGTGTACTTTCCGGCCCCTTTGTTCCTTCCTTCTTCGGAGATTTCCTGAGCTTCGAAGCTTTAATTTGCGTGAAATAAGAAACTTTTTCAGGAGATTGAGTTTTTCATTTTCTGTAAATGAAATTTGTGACTTTCAGTCTTTTCAAATCCAGTTTTTGTCACTAACAGCCGAAAATCCAAGGCTTCTGCCCTGAATTGAAAAATTTATAATGTTTTCAAAAAGTGTCAATTATTTTTGAATTTTTCTGAGTTTTCAGAGTCTTTTTGAAAGTTCCAATAAGATGTTTAGAAGTTTCTAGAATCTTCAGAGTGATCCCTATAGGGGTTAGGGACCGAAAAAAAGGGGTCTCTGTAGGGGTAAAATAAAGGTGGTCCCTATAGGGGTTTGGAATCGGGCCGCTTAGCCCCTAAAGCATAAGTGATCCCTATAGGGATCTTTCAATTTTATTAAAACGCTTATTTATTTAGTTTTTTTCGCATGGAGCTCATAATTATTTTCGACTAGCATGTCCCTCTATAGGGGACCACTTTTTGCAAGCTTAAGTGACCCCTGTAGAATAAATTGAGCCTCTAAGGTTGCCCCTATAGGGACCACTCTGGAGTTTCTAAGTACATGAAGCTCCTTTGGATCGGTTTTTTTTCTCATTGAACGTCGAACATTATATTCTATGGACAATTTTTTGATCTTTTTTAAAATGGCTTTTAATTAGGCGAATGTGTGCTCAATTGATAATTCACCCAAAATTGAAAAAAAAAACTTTTGCTGGGCTCATTTTCTGAAATGTTCGCCTCTTCACGCTTTTGCATGCCAAGGAGGCACTAATTTTTGTGTTTTTTCTTGGATTTTCTGCCACATATCAATGAAATATTCATTATATATTCCCCATAATATTAGTAAGGAAAACTGAAAAGACAAGGAGAAAGTTGGGGGCGGAAAAAAAGACATATTCTTACTGGAAAAACAAGGAAATTGGCTGGGAATTTATTATTTTGCTCGCGCAAGTTTTGCTTCTATTTTTTTGGATGTCCCTTTTTTGAAGATTTTCATTTTTTTCTTCAAGATTCTTCAAGGCAAATTAAAAGTCCGATTTTTTGCAGTCGGTGAGATTCCACATGCCACCATAATCTTACTTGTCAAAATCTCAGAATTTGCCTTGTTGGGAGCAGTTTCAAGCCGAAAATTGTTCAGAAACGGAAAAATGTCTGAAATGGACCGCCAAATGTTAATATTTACTCAAACACTCGACATTGGGAGTTCGAAAAAGGCCTTTTTGCAAACAAAAATACTCAAATATCACTCCTTTTTTGAGTTTTTAAGAGTTTGCTATTTGCAAAGTCTTACAGTGGTTACTTTAGAATGGCTCAATGCGTTGCGGCCGCGCTGCGGTTCTCAAAGTCAAACCCTTAAAAGTTGAACTTTGTAGCGTAGAAGTCGTTTTTGGTCGGGTGCTCCTTTTCTTGAAGCTCTGAGCCATTTTTCATGTGATTTTTTTCATATTTCAGAGGTTTTTCTTGTGAATTTTCGAAAAATACCTTCAGAAATTATTACAAGTAATGACAGTCCCTTTTTAATATTTTCTTTTTTCTTAATCCTTTAAATTTTAAACGGACCGCAGAGCCATTCTAAATGCGACCAATTTAAGAACTCCGGAGGGTCCCCTCTAAGGACCACTTTACCAAACCCTGTAAGGGCCACTAAAAGCTTGCGAAGGGGGTCCCTACAGGGCTTTCAGTAGGCGGCCCTCACAGGTGACATGATAGTCGATAATGTTTATGAACTCCATGCGAAAAGTTCAAAAAATAATATTTTTGAATAAAGTTGAAAGACTTAAGATTAAGGGGTCAAACGGTCCGATTATAAACCCCTATAGGGACCACTTTTTCGGTTCCTATAACGGCTGTTTTCTCCTCTAAACCCTATAGGGGACCACTTTAAAATTCCTAAGACGGTATTCGAATCCCTTCTTGATTTTTTGACTCTCAAACTGGAATCAAAAATGACTCAGAGTGATCAAATATCCTATCGTAATGCGAACGATTAAGCTAATTTCCCCTAGTTAAATGGCGGCTATTTTGTCGCCGCCGCGTCTGCCCCATGGCGAAAATTTTTTTCCCTTCTCGTCCTCAACGGGCGGAGCCTTGCCGAAACTTTGACTCTTTCCCTTTTTCGCGCCGTTTTCCTCGCCTTCTCCTCCTTCTACTACACCCATTTTTGGGCTTCTTCTTCTTTTTTTCGTCTTCTTCCGGCGACAGGATGCCAATCAAAATGTTCTCAGCGTCCCGTCCTCTTTGACACATTCGGCTATAGTTGTTGTTTTCAATTTTCATTCGATTTGATCTGTTTTCGGTTACCTTTCATGAATTTTTTGAGGTTGATGGCTGACTTGGTTTTTTTGAAAGCGAGAAATGGTTCATTTTCCCTTCTTAGGAACTCCAGAAGCAACCATAAGGGGCCTTTGGCACTTTAACAACCCCTATAGGGGCCACTAAAGCTCGCAAAAGTGCTCCCTATAGGGAACATGCTAGTCGATAATTTTTATGATCTTCCTGCGAAGAAGCGTTTCCATGAGAAAAACTAAAAAAACTCTTTTGAATAAAATAGAACGACCCCTCTAGGGACCACTCAAGCTTCAGAGGCTAACAGGACAGACCTTAAACCCCGATAGTGACGACCTTATTTTACCCCTATATAGGGGCCACTTTCTCGGTCCCTATAGTGGCTGTTTTTTTCCTCTAACCCCTATAGGGGCCACTCTAGAATTCCCAAGTTTATTCAATTGTTCATTCTATCAAAATTACCGAATTTTTTTGGTTTTAATTTGGATTTTTTTCGTTTTTTTGTTCAAGTTTCAAGTTTCTCAATGCTCACTTTCAATAAAAAAGCTTTTTGTGATCTTGAATTTCAAATTTTTTTAAAGCCTTGCTTGATTCAAAATCGAAGAAGCACCAAAAATTGTGGAAATTGAGAGTTTCTTCTTCAAAAACATGTAGAAAAGTGTCGACAAGTTTCCATCAAGTGGGAATTGAACCAAGGATCCAATTAACGTCAGTCAATCGCTTCAGCCATTGCGCCATGTTGTCGAGAACTTTTTCTGTCTTTAAGAAGCGTGGAGAAACTTATAATACATGGATTGGTTAATTTTTCCCAAATTGAAATATTTTTGGATAGGAATTGAATATGTGACCTTTTTGGCAGCAGTAAAGATCCATGTCACTCGATTTATTTGCTTTTAAAATGGAAAAATTGAAAATTTGAGTCTCTCTTAACATTATTTTAGGCATTTGGACCCGGAAAATTTTATAAACTATTCAAAATGAATTTATTCTTGAATGCTGGAAAGCCCAAAAAGTCGTCTTCTCGATCTCAAAAATGTATAGAATTTAGCCCTCACTTTCTTCCTTTTCTTTCTCCTCTCCTCAACCATTTTTGAAATCGAAAACCACACGAGCAAACGAAGAAAATCGTCCGGAAATATCACGATTTCCCCACAAATTTTCTCTATCCCTCTTTTTTTTCTTGCTCTTTCCTTATCCGTTTTGGAAAATTGGTGTGGATCAAATTTCCAAGGCTCTTCTAAACGCGGCTTTTCCTGAGTCCACGAATATTTTTCTGGAATTTTTATAAGTTATTATATTGACCGCGACGCAGCCGCAACGCGTGACAAAAAGTGATAATAATTAATTTTTCTTCAGAATAAAAATTTTGTACTGAATATGACTTCAAATTGTTCTGAAAAAATCTGATTTGAGCCTGAAATTCCAGATAATGTCATTTGGATTGATTGAACCTCTCGAAGCTCTGAATAATTCTCGAAGTTTTCTATCTTCTCTTTTCATTTTGTACTGTTTTCCCTCATTTTTTTCAATCAACTTCAATTATTCCACACGTTTGCCGTATTTTCGCCCCGAAAAACTCGAAAAATTGTTAGAACCAATGAAAATAACGACGTCATGTGAAGAAGTATGATCAAATCGCGGAGCCTGACGTTCCACACGTCGCCGCGCAAGCGAATCGCCTGCTCCGGCAGCATCGACGAGATCAAAGATCTCATGTGAGTGAAATCTCGTCACTTCCAACGAATTCGTCTCGAAATTCCGATCCGAATCGTGTACTTTTTGCCTCAAAACTCAAGGAAATTTCAGCACTTTTCCAATTCCCATGTGAATTTCCATCCACATGAAGAGCTATTTGTTTTTATGGGCTTTTTTGATTAGGATTCTGTGCGCGTTTTATGATCTTGCGGAGGAAGAAGCCTTTTTGGCCTTTTTGAAAGATTATCCGAGGAGAGAAAGGTCGAAAAAGGATTAGAATCAGGAGGGAGGTTACTGTAACGAGGGCTTGTGTGTACACGCTGGAGTGCAGAACAAACACATTTTTTTTACGTCAAATTTTTTTATTTCCGCTTTTTTCCATCTTTTGTTCGTATGTCGTCGTTTTGTATTTAGAGACAGTCTAATATTTATGAAATTGAAGTTTTCGATAAGCGTCAAGTGTGTAGTCCATTGAAAAACGGGGGTTTTTTTTTCGCAAAAGTCTTTTTTTATGTCTTTTTTTCTTGCGTTTTTTATGCAAAGAAATCGCATTGAAAAGATGTTTCGATGAAGTTTCAAGTATTCTTAAGTCATCTTTTGGATTTTTGTTGCGAAACGCGCCAATAAAAAAGAAATGAAACTACACATTCTTTGCTTTTTGAATATTCTCGGTTTTACTTTTTTTTTTCCAGCCACACTACACGATCATCACATTGGGAACCGCCTTGGGCCTCGTGGCGTTGCAGGTTTTTTTATCTTCATTTCGTATCAAAAATAAACAATTTTTATGATTATTTGGCTTTTTCACTGAAATCTCAAGAGTATCATCTAACTTTTTTTTTTTTCTAAAGGAGATAGTTTTAGGTTGGGATTACCATACGGCTGGGAGCAAGCGAAAGACGATGACGGAAATATTTACTTTATTAAGTGAGGAAGTTTTTTTATTTTCTCTGAAATTTCATGTGACAAAGAAATACATCTTTCTCAGGGGATCATTTTCTCAAGATTTCCAAAAAACTTAGAAGAATTTTTCAGTCATTTGAACCGAACAACGACTTATGCCGATCCAAGACAGTCAAGAGCGCCTGAAGGCCAGAGGACGGTTATTGTTAATAGGAGGTGTGGGAATTTACTTTTTAATTTTTTTAATTTTTCTTTTTTTCAAGCCATACCTTTTCTAAGAAGGATTCAAAAAAATGTCAAAGTCTTAGAGTTTGTTAGAAGGGTCATGCATTTAACTTTCTTTTTAAGAAAAGACATCGGGTTCGGATTTGTGGCCGCTGGACAACTACCCACGATCATTCAATTTGTTTCTCCTGGTGAGTCGTATTTGAAGTGTTTAATCTGATCTTTTGTTTATTAGAAACTACGAAATGATTTTTTCAATATATTGTTTAGTCTTTACAGATTTTTAACCAATCTTTTTCTTTGAAACTCGAGTTCATTTATTCTTTATTGTAAGATAAACTAATTATTTTCCAGAAGGACCATCCGACGGGCTTCTCTACGCCAATGATCAAATCATTGAAGTGAATGGCCTCAACGTCCTCAATGAGACCAAGGATAATGTGATTTTTTTTTCACGGCGTTTTTAAAAAGGTTTTCCTAAAAAAAAATTTTGTGTTCACCCGGTTTCTAAGAATCTTGGAGCAGTTCGGCGTTTAAAAAAATTTAAAAAATTTTTAATTAAAAAATATGAAAAAAATAGAAGTCCCTTACCCTGTATACGGGTATACCCCCGATTTTAAGTCAATTCGTATTGTTTAGAAACAGTCGAGTTTATTAAAAATAACTTTATTTTAAACTGAGATTCAAGGAAAAACATAAATTCTTTCAATTTTTTTCATCAGATTGTCAACGCCGTCCGAGCTGCCGATGAAGAGCTGACGATAACTGTTGAGCAGATCCCACAGAGAAATGTTGATTTCTGTGCGTAGAAAGTTATTTTAGAATTCATTTTTAGAGAACACCAAGAAAAAACTGTAAAGTGCGGTTCACGGACCGAGTTCTCGTTTCTTCGATGCCTGAATCGGTGAGTTTTTGAAAATATTCAAGTTTTCCAAGTTTTGCGTGCAAATCCAACCGTTACTGGGGAAAGAAGATCAGTTCCAAAAAGGAATTTTATTTTTTAAGCCCATGGAATTCCCTCCACCGTTGCCGAACGTGATGCGGGTGTTCTTGGAAAACGGCCAAACAAGGTCATTTCGATATGATGACGTCACGACCGCCAAGGTTTCACCAATAAAGAAAAAATTTGATGAAGTAGTTATTTCAGGATATTTCTGATTCCCTACTGGAAAAGCTTCAAATAACCGCCGTAGGACATTTTTCATTAGCCCTGGAGTACTCACTTGGCGCCAGGACCAGTCGGATCAGCTTGCTTCGGCCTGAGACTACTATTAAATCTGTTAGTGGAAGAAATGTAAAACCAAAAATTAAGGGGGCGTGGTCAAAACCTCCGCCGTTCCCATGTGACGTCATGGGAAGAAACGCGTAAACAACAGGAAATATTAAAAACGCATCAATGGGTCACGAGACGAATCTATTTCTCCTTTGAAAAAATCGCGAAAATTAAAAAAAAATAAATGACGTGTGCCAGAGCGCCGCAGTGTATGCACACGACACATTACACTTCACGGAAAATGGGCGGGTCGTCGCCAAAAAAAAAACGCCGGGAGTGATGACTTGAGAAGAAAAGTCAGGAGCATAAAAACCGTCAAATGCGAAACTTTGCATTTATTTTAAACTGTAAACCTTGAAAATGTTTACTCATTCAATGCTTTCGTGAAGTAAATTTCGAAATTCGACTTAAAGGTGATTCAAATGCCCAACTCGGAACACCTCCGATGCGTCTTCCGCCTTTCCTTCATCCCGTCAGACGCCTTCACTCTCTACGTCGAAGATCCCAAAGGCATTAGAGTACTACTATCAGCAATGCATCAACGACGTCGTCAGGGGCCGGTTCGCCTTCGAAATGAGGTGAAAATCCCCCGGAAAAAGTTGTGGATGGAAGATCTCGTGCAGATATGAGGCTTGCATCCGGCTGGCCGCCCTCCACGTCCAGCAAGTCGCCTACGACTGCAATATTTTGAAGGAGGGACGCGTCTCGATCAGTAGGATTGAGTGAGTTTGAGAAAAAGTTTGAAGAAACGGGAATGTAATGAAGAAAAGATCTCAAAGAAAAATTTTTTTTAACGGTTTTTCAGGCTTGAATCCTCCTAATTTCTGCATTCTCCGATTTCTGGTCAATATAATGGGCTCATTTGAGCAAAACTTGATGCTTCCTTTTTAAAATATCCTCAAAACTTTTTTTTTGATCTTCCTATCTGGAAATTTAGTGTTAAAAACTTACAAAAGCTAATTTCTTCAACTTTAAACGCTTAATCTCATTTTTCAAACCCACCTTCTGCACAGATTTGGGAAAAAACGAAGTTTTAGAAAAGAATACGGACTGGAGACGTTCCTGCCGTTGATCGTCCTGGAAAATGTCAAGCGACGGGAGATCCGAAAACACTTGAGGTTCTACTTGAAACGCGACAACTCGCGGCTCATGGAGTGTATCGGCAAGCCCGCCTGTAACAAGCAGGAAGAGGAAGCTTGTTAGTGGCTTCTTAAGTGTTTTTCCCCTGAACTGGAGGCTTCAGCAACAGCCTCGGCGGCCCCGTGTGAACCGGGAGCCATGGTCCGGCTCAAGTACATCCACATCGTGTCCCACTTGCCCTCTTTTGGCGGCCGCGCCTTTTCCGTCACCTTCAAGGAGAGCCAGATCGACATGATCATGCAGGTTTGAGAGGGAAAGAAATAGTCTTTCAAGAAAAACGGTGAAAGTTTGCGGGTAATGAATACGGTTCACAGCTCTTAAGGCCATTTACATCGAAGGTATGAAAGTTGGAAAGATAGAGAGATTAAAATTTGAGCTTCTTGACATACATCGGCTACCACAGCCTTTTTGCATGTACTGAAATTTGCCGCTTTTGGGGGATAGGCTGCACTTTTTGGGGGATAGGCCGCAGTTCTAGGAGATGCACCCCGGGGTGGGATCCAGCCGGCGTATAGTTCTTGTATATTGAGCCATCGAAAAAAGGGTCCTGACACAATAATGCACGAGATAGCGTCTGGCTCCTGGAGAGTGCAGACACGACGCGCCCCTAGTGTCCCAAGCTAGCCGTGAATCAGCTATATGAAGAGTTTTGGGGTCTTAAAAACCATAATGAGATTTCCATGATTAGACTTTTGTGAAGGAATATTTACTCGTTTACCTCCAATTTTCTCCCAGGTCGAGCCGCGAACTGGCCTCTTGGTCCGACATCCAGGCCGCTCGGGCCAGCCTTCCATATCGATCGGTTTCGATTTGATTGGTCGCTTGGTCGTGTCCAGGGAAACTGAAGTCGCTTCTTTGATCAGTATCCGATTGGCTAGCAATCCTAATCAGGTCAGTCAAATCGGGAACTAAGAAAAATTACCCTTTATATGACCATATTCAAGAGGAAACAACATTAGAAGGTTTTTCAATGAAAAATCGAATATTTGACACTATAAATTGATTGAAAAGTTATTCAGTTTTGTTAAAGAAACAGGTTTTTTAAAACTTTTGGAACTTCTCTCTGAAAACTTTGAGAGTTTTTCATTGAATGGAAAGTTTTTTGAAACCTCTTCCTTCTAAATGCATCACCAATCTTCATTTTCACTTCAGGGCCTCGAATTCCTGGTGGACAAGGATGATCTCGACGATTTGGTCATGTATATAGTTGGTTATCACAAGGTGATTCCATCATAATCAGTTCAAAGCCTAATTTCATAGTTCCAGGTGCTCTACGGGTCCGAATTACAGTGTGAAATCAATAATGCGCCGCCGACGTTGAAGGAACTGCCGAGTGACGGTAAGTTTTTGAAAAATGGGGGGAAAACGACTCGGAAGTGTACTTTATTCGGAAAAAGAATAATTAGGATTTTAATCTATCTTGATAAATTGAATTCAAAGATTTTTTTGAACGAGAGAGACATGATTTTTATATCTATCAGGCAGTTAAATTTTTATACTTTTAAAAACAATGGGAATAATTTCTTTACGAAGGGGAAAATGGGAACTTCGACTATTTTTATTGTTTTGAGATTTTTCAAACGTGTTTCTTTCCAAAAATATCTGCAAAACCCAACGAAAGTCTACTAATTTCCAGCTCCACCCTATTCCTCCGTCCATAACGTTATGCCATCCGGATGGAATTATAGCGGCGACGCGACGCCTACTGACAAAGTTGGAATCATTCTTCTATTCGTTAAAATATTTAGTTTTCCAGAGCTTCGACCTCTCTGAAGACCCGCCTTCCTACGACTTGGCCAACTCTTTTGTGGAAATGGCGGCCGAGAAGAGAAAATTCGAGATGAACTTGCAGCAGAGCGAGAAGTTAGTGTTCGGTAGATGTAATGAGAGAAAAAAAAAACTGGTTTCAGAGAAAATTTTTAAAAGGTTTTTTCGACTTATGAGACGACCTAGAGTCTTCTTAAATTTGGGGGCAAAAAATGCTTTAGGAACTCAAGAGTGGTCCCTATAGGGGATACCTAAAGACCCCTTGGAAGGTCCCTTCTAGTGACCACTATACCGAAAAAGTGGTCCCTATAGGGGAGATTCTAGTCGATGATTTTCATGAACTCTATGCGAAGAAGCATTTTCATGGGAAGAACTCAATAAATAAGCGTTTTTTAAATAAAATTGAAAGTCCCCTATAGGGACCACTTCAGCTTCATAGCTCTGGGATCAGACCCTGAAGCCTTATAGGAACGACTTTTCCGACCCCTTAAAAGGTTGTTTATTCACCTAATCCCTACAGGGACCACTCTCAAATTTCGAAGTTAGCCGCGTTTTTCTGCGTTTCCTGCTTCTGTAAAATAGGGAAAAATGGGCCTAATGGAAGATTTGAAATTCAAAATTTTGAATCAAGGAGATGAAAGATAATTCTTGTACTTTGAAAATACAGCCGTGGTGCGCGTTTTTCTTCGCCTTATGAATTTATGAATTTTCTTGGTTGGTGTGCTCAGAAGATATTTCAAAGCTCTCCCAGTCATACACCTGTTCATTTCAGGATGAACGGCATGGATCAACGACGGCAGTCCGACGTGTCCAAGAAGCTCCTGAAGGCGACGGATTCGTTACTGACGAAGAATAGTCGGGAACTTCATCTCAAGGAGAAATTCAGTCCGGCTGTGTCAAAGTGAGATATTGAAACGTCATCAAGCTGTAAATAATGAATTCTTCAGACCGACATCAACGAGGATGCCGACTATCAAGCCGGAAATGCCTTCGGATTCTTCAGATACTGAAGATTCATCGTTTTCTTCGCCACTGAGGTCGCCTCATCTCGTTGATATCAGCGAGGATCACGTCGATCAGCTTGTCAATGGGTTCGGGATTTCTCCTAGTTTTCTTTGAATCTTGTGGACTTTTCAGCGTCAGCCTTCTGACGGCCGACCATCACCATATTCGGAGGGCTTCTATTGAGACGCTTATTCAGAACGGACAGAATGCGGTGAGATAATCCGAGTTTTCTCAGGAGTACTTGACTAAGAAAAGTTTATCGGGCCCCGAGAGGGGGACAACTGGGGGTGCTTGTAGAGGTCTACCCCGGGGCCACGAAAATCTGGTTTAGGCCCCTCTATAGGGGTTGAAACAAAAGGGGCCCCTAGAGGGGTAGGATCAAATTTTCACTAGAATTCGCTTCCTCATATTCGTCCCTTACTCTTTCAAACAACGCCCCTTAAACAATTTTTAAGAAAATTTACCCCTATAAGGGTCCCTCGTTTAGGGAGTTCAATGGAAGCTCCGGGTCCCCTCTTCCCTAATTTTCCGGTCCTATCGGGGCCCCGAAATGGCCAAATTCCTATCGGGTATCAAATAATGCGAATAAATAGTTTTTTTTTGTTGTCAAGGCTTAGAGCAGTCTGACCTATCTGTGCTCTCTTTTCCCTTGCCGGCACGTTCAAAGGAGCATGAAGTAGCCCTTCACGCGATTTTTCATTATCTGTGTTTTTTTAAAAGCTACTTCGCCTCGAGAACTTGTCTATGCGCCTTTAAACACCAAAGGGTTTTGAGAATTTTTGGTAATATCGGATTATGTATCGGGTCTTGAAAATGACCAGCTTGTATCCCATCATCATTTCTCGGCGCAATTCAAGTTTTTCAGAACCTCGAAAGCCTGATCCTCAAATTTCCGCACAACTACTCGGATACGGACAGCGGCGGCGCGAGGACCCCTCAGACGGACGTCGCTGCGGCCGTCGTCGCCAACGGGAAACCCAATGGCAACGGCTACGCCAAGTATGGCCATCAGATCGCCTCTCCGACTGTTAGGCACGTTTCTCAAGGGATAGGAGATGAGCGAAACACTTCTGCAAAACCTAGGGAGGAAAAGCCTGTCGCGGTAGTAGAAGCTGTTTCAGGGATTTATAACATATTCTTTTGCGCGTCAAATAAAATGCATTGTCTGCGGCTAAGTCGCATTCCCAGACTTTTAAGCTTCATAACTTCTTTCCTTTCAAAGTTACAGAGTTACTGATCATACCGTTAGATTCATCTGATTCTCAGATTTCTCACGCTTAGATCTGCTTCCTAGGACGTCATTTGAGTTTCCAATTGCTGTTTTGCTGAATTCGTCTTTTTTCAGTGATTCGACGCCAGTTTCCGGTGATTCCTTGCTCGGCGACACTTCCATTGCCGCCATCGACGACGACATTCCTCTGCTTTAAAATATCATTTTTCCATTGTTTCCTTTGAAGAAAATTCCTTTTTAAAGATCCCCACAATTTCTTTCATCGTCAGGTCCAACCGCCACTGGTTTTTTTTCTTTCCCCACTTTTCCTTTGTGATCGCCCTTTGTTCTCGCTAATTCATATTAATTGATACAAAAACCCTTGCCTTTTTTTTCATTTTTGATGCTTCTCCTCCATTTTGAAGTGATTCGTGATATTGTTAGATTTTCATGAGAATGTGATAGTTTTTTTTGGTACCCTCATTGAGCTTTAACCCTCATTCAGTTTGCATTAAATTTTTTCAGACTCTTTGACTGAATTCGAAGTCTTTTTCAATTGATAAAAGCTTCCCATTATTTTTGAACAGTTTTAAATCGCCCGGAGAAAATTTTTCGCAGATTTGTGCTGCAAAAAGCTTGAAGCTTTATAACCTTTATCTTTGCAAAGTTGAAATCGAGGAAAATAAAATGATATAATCGTATAAGAAGAAGCTGCTCCGGTAGTCAAGATAAGTGGTTGGAAATTCTGAATTCTCAGTTTGCGCGTCAGATAAAGTGTATTGTCTGAGGCACGCGGCTAGGTCTTTTCTTTTCTCCCGAAAAAGGAAAGCTCAAAAATTTTTTTCGCTTTTTCGAGGTTATCACTTTTTCAATCGATATAGCAGCGTTCATATAGTGATATCGTCATATCACTTCCGGAGGAAAAGCTCAAAAATTGGCAAAAAAAGTTTCAAAAACAATAACTTAAAAGCTTCATATTATCGTTCAGTATGAAGTTTCACAGGAACTGATTATATGATTCTATTCGTCTTGATGTCAGCTTTCGACTGGATGAGATGAGGGAATGTTTTGTGCGCTTTTGAAATAAATGATAAACTTTGAAAAATCATAACTTTTTTTCTAGAAACCTTAGAAGTTTTCTACCTGCATTTTCAAGTACAAAACGTCATTATCTATCGATTGATGTAATGAAATCGATAATTTCGATTTTCGGGAAAAATGAAAATTTTGCAGTCTAACCCCTTTGGATTTTTTCATTTTTGGCCCCTGACCTCATGGAAGCCAATCCCGAAGAGACCTATATCACTCGATAGATCTCGACGAGAAACTAAGAATGGGCTAGGTTTAACCTCGGTAGCTCTACTAGGAACAAAGTTATGATCGATTGAACTTTGGATCTAAACTTTCAAAAACGCTTAAGATCAGTATCAATCGAAAGGAGAGACCGAGGAGATCGGAAAAACTAGGTCACAGGGCTCATTACTTCCTAGAAATAAAGTTATGAGCTTTCAAAGTTTCGAACAGTGAGCTTCTGGATGAAGCTCAATTGACAGAAAACCTATATAATTGGAAAGCTGACATCAAGACAAATCGAATGATGTGATCAGATAAACTTTAGCTGCTCTGGGAGCCGAGATATGAGCCTTTGAAGTTTGTCAATAATATTTTGATAGGCGTCAGATATAATGCATTTGGTGGGCTGCACCACGGTCATATTTTCTCGCGAAAAAGGTAAAAGCTCAAAATTTTTTTCGTATTTTCGGGGTTTTTTCTACATCAATCGATAAAGCAACTTCTATATAGTACTTTTATCATATTGGTTTCGAGAGAAAAGCTCGAAAATTGCGTGAAAATTAGGTCCAAAAGGTCGTATTTTTCAGAATTTGAAGCTCCATATCTTTGTTCATTTCGAACTTACAGAGAAACTGATTGTATCATTCGAGTCGTCTTAACGTCAGCTTTTAACTGATACAAAGCATCAAAAGTTTTGAGCATTTTCATAGAAAATCATCCACTTTGAAAAATCATAACTTTTTTCTAGAAGCCTAAGAAGTTTTCTACTTGCATTTCCAGGTACGACGCGTCATTATCTATCGATTGGTGTAAAAATCTCAGAAACTTTGGTTTTCGGGAAAATCGAAAAAAGTGCAGTCTAACCCCTTAGCTTTTTTTTTGAGCTTCTGAAGTCATGGAAGCCGATCCGGACGAAACCTATATCAATCGATAGATCTCGACGAGAAAATAACCTGAGACCAGGTTTGACCTCTGTAGGTCAACTAAGAGCTAAGTTATGGACGATCAAACTGAGAGGTCAAAAATTGGAAAGTAGGTCAAATTTGGTATCAATCGATAGAGAAGATCAAGGAAATCAATAAAAACTAGGTCTCTAAGTTCCTAACCTCCTACGGATTGAGTTATGATTTTTCAAAAACTTTAAAACAGCATAACTTTATTAATTTGCGAATGAGAACTTTCTAACCTGCCTTTTCGGACTTCTGACGTCATTTCCTATCGATTGATGTGAAAATCTCGGAAACTTTGGTTTTCGGGAAAATCGAAAAAAAGTGCAGTCTAACCCCTTTGGATTTTTTTGGGCCTTTGAACTCATGGAAGCCAATCTAGTCGAAACCTATATCATTCGATAGATCTCAACGAAAAACTAAGATTGAGCTAGGTTTGACCTCCGTACGCCTGCTAGGAACTTAGTTATAAGCGATAAAAGTTTCAGGTTAATTCTCAGAATGAGTTGAAATCATCATCAATCGATAGAGGAGATCATGACGATCAGGAAAAACTAGTTCTTTAAACTACTGAGTCTTTTGGAAAAAAGTTATGAATTTCTGAAATGTTGAAAATTGGGCTTTTATATGAAGCTCAGTCCACTTTCAAGGTGTATCATTCAAAAGCTGCTGTTGAGACGAGTCGATTGATGTAAACAATTCCTCGGTAATTAAAAAATGAAGAGAGTTATCAAGCTTGAAGTCCTGAAAAAAGGGACTTTTCGCTGTGCACCAAATGCATTTCATCTGACGCGCAAATTAATTTTAGTGGAAAATGGTGTATCTCGGCTTTCAGAGCAACTGTGGCTTTTCTAGTTATATCATTCGATCCGCCTTGATGCCAGCGTTCCATCGCTACGTGTTGTCTTTGTAAGAAGCAAAAATCTTTTTCTAGAAGCTTCTAAATTTTTTTCTTACTCGTTTGTATCACAGTGATGCTTTATTCAATCATTTTTCAGCTTTAATATCACCACAACAAAGGAAAGAGACATGAGGGGACAAGAAGAAAAAAAAATCCAAGAAAAAAAAGCGACGAGAATGGCAAACTCAACAACGTTGTACAATCTCAAAGATCACAAAGAGAGAAACAAATGAAAAATTGTAAAACTATGATGAAAACCACAGGAGATCAGTGACTAACAAGTTCAATTTTTCCCCATTTTTAGAACCTGTATCGGTTCAGTTTACCAATTTCGAAAAACTCGGGTTCAGTTATAATATCCTAAAGGTTCTCCGTGAGTACTGGTTCATTGTCCCTCAGAAAAACGCGTTTGGCCGGAAGTTCATCGCCAAATCCTTCGGGTTCCCGCTTTCCGGCTCCATAAGTCACCACTCCAATGTAGCCCTGAATGATGATAAATAAAAGTGATTTCATTTGAGAATAAGAAATCTCCTTCATTTATAAGTTTTATATACAGCTACTTTTCTTAAAACCCCTATAGGGACCACTTTTTCGGTCCCTATAGGAGTTTTCCTTCCTCTAACCCATATAGGGATCACTCTGGAATTCCTTAGTCTCTGAAAACATTCGAATCACAAAACTATCTTTTTTGATGGATGAAACTGCAAAAAACATTCAAGTTGAAAAAAATATCCAAGTAAATAAATGCTTGGAAATGAAGCGAATGTAAATCATCAAGAAACAAACCTCCTATATAACCTCTAACAAGCACAAAAACAGGAATTTAGAAAAATAAACCTGATTTTCCGGTGCCGTCCTGACCAAATCCGGGTTATCCTTGAGGCGGTCATTAACTTCAGCCAAAGTGCCTTTCAAACCGGCTCGGACAACTATTTCGCTACCGTCTTTGCAACGGATCGTACATAACCGTGTCTCCTTCTGTAGGAGAAGACCGCCCTAACAAAAGTACATTAGATTTCTAGATTTGCTGCACAGAAATGCCTTCTTTCCCTTGCCGACAACAGTCTTTTCGCCTCGATCTGGGCCATTCTTTTTTTAGTGCTCCCGAAGTCGACTTCAACCACTTCACTACTCGGAATCTAAAAATTTTTTTATATTAGAAAAGAGTGATTGATTCTTTTTTTTTTTCTTGATAGTAAACATCAAATCGTAGACTACATTGAGGAAAGCTCAAAAATAAAAAAATGAAAAAAATGAGATTTTAAAAAAATTACTTCAGCCCAAGAAATAAGTTTCTTTCCTAACTATACATTTTTCTTTATAAAGCTGGATTTTTTTGATGCGTTTTTTTGATAATCATATCTCATTCGAAAAATCAACTTCGTGATATTATTAAGAAAAATTTTAATTGAGCTTCGAGAAATGTATAAATACATAATTTCCTGTAAACATTCGACAAATGTTGAGCTAAAACTTTTTTTTATTACTAAAAAAAAATTTAATTCAAAGTTCTGTGCTCTAAAAAAGTAAAAGAGCTTTGTTTCCTTGATTACTAGAAAAAATATAAAGAAAATATATATTTTTAGATAGCTTTCTGAAGTACACATTTAGATAACTACAAAAATCTACGCGATGATTGGCACATGAACGTATAATGACAAAAATATTTTAAAATGAGAAAACCTCACGGAGAACGACGACGGTGACGCCGCTGGGATGATGCAGATAGGCAATATTACTGTAGCTTTCGCTACCGTACCTCTTATAAATCCTGTCCACAGTAGTCGCGTACGAAAACGTCATTCCTCCATGAACAATCAAAATAAAGTTATCATGAAACCTCCAGTATTTAAAGAAAGAACTTTCACTGTAACTGAGCAAAAAAATTTTTTTAAAAAAATGATAAAAAGTTTATTAAGAAAAATACATACATCCTAGAGTCCTACAATAAAATTCTGCAAATCCTATAGAAATTTCGATGCGACTAGGACGAGTTTTGGCGAAAAAAAAAGAGAAGCTCAACAAACTGGCAACAAGATACAATTTGAATGAATGAAAGAAGAACCTGAAAGCGTAACAAAACAATAAGTAGTGAGTAGACAGGGACAAAAAAAGGTGGAAAAATACACAATGTTGATAAAATTACATAATTGAGCAGGCATTGACAGCGGCTTCAGAATTCTCGACACGTGGGAGTCCCGTATTGTCGTCTAGGCCCCAACCTTCAAAAAAATTTTTCTATTTGCAGTTTTTTTTCTCGTGCAAAAACTGATTCAATTAACTTTTTATTTAAAGATATATATCAATCAAATCAATCAAAATCAAAATGTTTTATTTCTCACACTCAAATATCGATTAAAATTTTATTTCTTTGGTGTTTCCCGTTTTGATATTGAAGAATAAATGAGCAAATATTTATTTACTGTTACCCTTTTTTTGCTTCAAAAAAGTTTTTTTCGTCCAAAAAATCTATAAAAACTTTGGCAGTATGCTAATTTTCGTCGGCGGTACATGCACGAGAAACATCTTATTTGACGACTTTTTTGTGAGCGGGGCGTAGCTCTCGAAACGACGTTATTTTATGTTCATGTTTTTCATATAATGAATAACATAAACTAGAATTTTTTTAAATTTGAATTAAGGTGAATTGATCATTTATATCACAAAATTATCGGGATGTTTTTTTCTCAAGCTTGTGTTCCTTTATTTCTGTGAAACTTGCCATCAGGAAGCTGTCCAACGAGTTCTTTCGGTGGGTAGCCGTAGGATTGGAGTTCGACGAGCAATTTCCCGAGTCGTTCAAATTGTTCAATCCGTTTTTCTTCCTGAAAAAATCTATTATAGATCGCACATTGCCGGAAAAGAGAATTTGTTTCAGTTTTGAACCTAGAAAGGTACATCATAATGAAAAAAGGCGACAAAAATATTTCCCACATTTGGATCAGCCTGACCGTCGGCAGGCTGTACAGCGGCTTCTTCCAAGGGAACGCCGGCAGAAGATTGGCTTTCAAACTCGGCGCAAATCGTTCCGAGAACCTTGACAAAAAGGAAATTACAACTTAAACATTATAAATGATGAAACCTCGTATTGCTTATCATATCTGGCCCGAGTTTCAGCATCCAGTTCGGCTCCATGTTCTTCGAAATATTTAGGGAAGTTGTCGTGGATTTCCTTGAGCGGCGGGTACATGAACTCTTTGGAGGCAAGCGTCTGGAAAATCTTTTTTTTTCAAAGCGTCAACAACTTACAACAAATAAACAACTTACAATAAATTAAAAAGCGGCAACAAAATACAATAAAATAAAAATTAGAAACGTCTAAAAGTACACTAAGTTGGATAGAAAACTCTTAACACTCTCAAAAAGCAAAAAAGTCTCTGAAATCTGAAAAACTAATTGAATAGACCAATTTTGCTCGGCATACAAACTTAAATTTTAAAAGGCCAAGTATACTAAAGAATGAGAATTTTATTTGGAAAAGGATAACCAGGTATTCAGCAGCAAAAAAAGTTAAGCAAACATATTTTTTTGAATTTAGTTTTATCTTGAAATAGTTGGGAAAAACCTGAAATTTTTTTAAAAGTATGACCGAAATTTAAACGTTTTTCAAGTTATAGAAACTTCACGGTGAGAGAAAAAGTGCTGTAAAGTGCGAAAATTTGACAAAAAAATGTAATATTTTTCCAAAATGAGCATAAAAAAACATAAAAACTGCCAATTTAACGTATCTAGTGATACAACAAGTCAATGGAAATCTTAAATCTTTGTTTTCGTAAAGAATCTTATAAAAAACAATGACAGTCTCTTACCTGCATCATCATGGCCATGAAAGGCTCCATCGGAGACTCCGGATTTCGGAGCATATCGAGGCCGGCCATGAATTCTTCGGGGGAATTGGCTCCAGCAACCTAAAATTTCAGAAAATTTATTATTTATCAAAAAACTTCCAAAAAGAAACCTGAGAAGAGCAATCCATGAGCTGTTTGATCATCTCCAACATCTCCTTGGATTCTGGATCATTCGGATCGAATTCCGCATTTTCTGCCGCTGGTCCGCCTTCTTCTGCTCGTTTTATCGCTTCCTTGAATGCTTTCGATTTAATAAGATTTGCTGTTTGTTCCATAAAAACCTCCTGGACCTTGACCATTTGAGCCAGCATGCTTTGGAAGTCGCTGGCCGCCTTTTGAGCCGCTTCCTGATCTTTGACCGCCATCAGCTCGTCCAGCTCATCATCAGTGTTTTTTGGCGGAGCTCTAAAATGGATATTTTGATTGGGGAACATTCTAACAATCAAAACTAACGGTTTAAAGTCCTTGACGGCGTTGTCAAGCATCTTCGCCAGTTCATCGACATCGTCGTTTTTATCGCCAGAAGAAGACGGCTTCTCGGCGTCAGACATTTTATCTGAAACATTTTTCATCCACTTGAAACAGTTTTAAACTGAGGCAAATGAAGAAATAAGCTTAAAGAAGTTTAAATCGTATCAAAAAAAAAAAGAATATCTCGATAAAAAATAGTGCCGCGTGATTTTTGATCATCATGTGCTTACGACAATTTCGAAAACTTTGAAAAAAGGCCGGCGCTATGAAGTTAATAATTAATATCCTTTCCCAAAAATGAACTGTTTGTAAAAAGATAATTTTAAAACTTTTAGCGTGGTGTGCATGGTTATTCCAGGCCACTTACGATTTCTTTACATTCGAACATCTGAAAAAGGAGCAGCAAAAAGGTTCTATTTAAAAAATAGAAAAATCTGAACCACAGAAAAGTGCCACAAAAATTAATGAAGATGGTAACCGTTATTGAAACCGAGATCCAGAATCTATTGATAACAAAACACCCTACAAATAAAAAAGTTTCTGAACAATTTGGACTAGTTTACGCTTCAAAAGACGAGCTTTTTGCATCATTTGGAAGAGAAAAAAAGTCGCTGGAAAAATGCGCGGGGTTAGAAGTTCCCTACGCAGTTTTGTGCAAAGCACGCGTGAGTTACAGAAAGAAATATTTCAAAATAGACATTTATAAAAATCCCTTGAAGATTCCATTTTTCAGCTGTTTTATCCATTAATTATCTATTTCAAACGCGACTTTTTTTAAAGAAACTTTAAGTCAACAACAATTCGTTCATCGAGAGCAAAATCACGTTCGAAAAATATATAAAAATTCTAGAATGATAATGGGAAAAAATAGAAAAGAACGCCGAGGCGCCACTGTAGTCAAACACGATTAGGTACAAGAAACACTCGTTTTTATCGATTGCGCAGTCTCGGAGAGGCCGTTCGGAAGATAGAAAGGTGACCACTCGAGAACTATTCAAATATTTGGATATCTATTCGAACTTTATGGGAAAGGTTCTTTTTTGAAGATTCCTATGAATCGTTTATAGAAACGTTATATTTCGGAATCAGAAAGCTTGAAATTAAAGTTAAACTTATTTACCTTATTTCAAAGCGTACGGATTTCCTAGAAAAGTTCAGTTTTTCGTGATAAGTTAAATTAGGAGCGATTAAAAAAAAAAAATTATTTTGAAGTTTTATTTTTATTAGAAGTTTCGAGACAGAATTTTTGATGCTTTTCCAATAAGTGATACATTTGCTTACATTATGAGTTCAGCCATTCATGAATTAAATTTGAAGGACCTTCACTCAAAAGACGCTTGTCCATAAAAAAATATTTTTTTGATTTTCAAGGAGATCGAAAAACCAGCCTGCAATCAAGTTCTTCCAACGCTTGTTTCAAAACGACAAAAAAAGCCATTTTCTTGTCCAAGACTTCCTCATAAGGACCCCTCTCTTCACGTGTTTATTCACCATCTGAAATAAACCACACAGCCGCTTTCCGTTCGATAACGCAGAAACACAACTATTTTGCTTCGATCATAGTTCGAAAGTGTCCAGAAAATAATATCAAAAGAACCAAAAAAAAAAACTTTTCTATTCCAGCGAGAGAATTCATCACAAATGTTGGGGGGACGTGTTCAAGCAACACACAAAAAATAAATTCAAAGCGGCGGTGCCGAGAAAGGCGGAAAAAACGGCATCATAATGTGTGTTGTGCCTCCATAAAAATACAAAAAAACCACAAAATAAAGACATTGAACATCGCAGAGAACATGTGGGGGGACGATGGGAATTGTATAGATTTAGAAGCATTTGCGGTGGACGATCGAGGGGCCGGATTCGTCGTACTCCTGCTTCGAGATCCACATCTGCTGGAACGTCGACAGGGAGGCCAAAATCGAGCCGCCGATCCAGACCGAGTATTTGCGCTCTGGCGGAGCGATAATCTTGATCTTCATCGTGCTGGAATAATAGTCTATATTGGAAGCCTCAGCAACTTTCTGATTTCCGAGGAAAAATAGGCTCGGGTTCAGATAAAGCTTCAAAGCCGATCTGAGGCATTGGGAATTTTTTCTCAGAGCTTAGGTCTTCTAAAGTCTTCAAAAATTCGTTCAAAAGTGTTTCTTAGCAAGAAAGGAATGCAAAGAAAAGTCAAATCCGTCTGAAAATTGATGACTTCCGTTGATTTTTAGGGCTAAAAGTCCCTATTTCAGTCCAACTTCCCACCTAGGAGCAAGAGCAGTGATCTCCTTCTGCATACGGTCAGCAATGCCAGGGAACATCGAGGTACCGCCGGAGAGGACAGTGTTGGCGTAGAGGTCCTGAAGGACAAAAAAATTCCCAAAAAAATTCAGATATTTCGAATTCAGTACATCCTTCGAAAGCTATTAAAAAAAATTTTCAGGAAATTCCCAAAATTCACGTAGCTCCTATAGTCTTTGTAAACTTGTAAACTGATTCGACTCCCTCAAAAAAGGTAAAAAAAAAAATAACCTTTCGAATATCCACATCACACTTCATGATCGAGTTGTAGGTCGTCTCATGGATACCAGTCGACTCCATTCCCAAAAACGAGGGCTGGAAGAGCGCCTCGGGGCATCGGAATCTCTCATTTCCGATGGTGATCACCTACAAGCTCATGCTCCTTGCCAAACTCAACATGATCCGGCACCTGTCCATCAGGCAACTCGTAGCTCTTCTCCAACGACGACGACGACGCCGCCGTCGCCATCTCCTGCTCGAAGTCGAGGGCGACGTAGCACAGCTTCTCCTTGATGTCGCGGACGATCTCACGTTCGGCGGTAGTCGTGAACGAGTAGCCACGCTCGGTGAGGATCTTCATCATGTAGTCGGTGAGGTCGCGGCCGGCCAGGTCCAGACGGAGAATCGCGTGCGGCAGAGCGTAGCCCTGAAGACGTCAAGGTATTCTGACGAAATGAGAGACGAAAAGGACTTCATAGATGGGGACAGTGTGGGTGACGCCGTCGCCAGTGTCAAGGACGATTCCGGTAGTTCTTCCAGACGCGTACAGCGAAAGGACGGCTTGGATGGCAACATACATGGCGGGAGTGTTGAACGTTTCGAACATGATCTGAAAGGGATGGGGATCAAGGTTGGTCAAGCTATCGAGAAAGCTTTGAAGAGATTTTTTAATACTAGTTACAGACCGGTGAGACTTCAAAAAAGCATCATCTACCTTCCTTACACCTGGGTTACGAAGTTCAGGAAGCTTCCAGGAGCTGAAAGAAGGCCTAGCAACTTCAAAGACCTGTCATAGAATCTGATAAACCTTCAAAAGCTTCAGAAGCCTCAGAAAACTATTCCGGTCCGGTAAAACTTCAAAAAAGGGCTATGAACCAAAAGACTCCCACAGTCCCTGAGAGCTCCAGGAAGCCTCTAACAGCCTTCAGAAGCTTTCAGAAACCTTCTACTTGGGCCACGAAGTTCAAGAAGTTTCCAGGTGCTGAAATAAGGATCAAAAACTTCAGAGACCCGATATAGACCCTGACCACCCCTTAAAAGTTGCAAAAGCTTCTGAAAACCTTTCGGGACCGGTAAAACTTAAAGCACCAGAAGTATTCAAAAGACTCCCACATCTCCTGAGAGCTATATGAAGCTCATTCTCCCCCATACCTGGGTCATCTTCTCGCGGTTCGCCTTGGGATTGAGGAGGAGCCTCGGTGAGCAGCACCGGGTGTTCTTCAGGGCGCCACGCGAAGCTCATTGTAGAAGGTATGGTGCCAGATCTTCTCCATATCGTCCCAGTTTGTCACGATGCCATGCTCAATGGGGTACTTGAGCGTGAGGATACCTGGAAAAGACCATCTTGTAAAGTTTTATCTTATCGGATACCTCGTTTGGACTGCGCCTCGTCGCCGACGTACGAGTCCTTCTGACCCATGCCGACCATCACACCCTGATGACGTGGGCGGCCGACGATCGACGGGAAGACAGCTCGTGGAGCATCGTCTCCAGCGAAGCCGGCCTGAAACAGTTGAGATGAGCTTGTGAATAGTTACGGTAGCCGAGTCGCAGCTAACCGTTTTGCGACGCGGCTAAGAGTTCTCAAGCTTAACTATGATTAGTTGAGTCGCAGTAACCGTTAATGCGACTCGGCTAAGAGAACAGTTTGCAAAAATGGCTCTAAGCCATCTGACAGCCGAGTCGCAAGACCACGCGACTCGGCTATTTCTTCTGCCTCATACCTTGCACATGCCGGAGCCATTGTCGACCACGAGGGCTGCCACGTCGTCGTCGCACATTTTCGCTGTTTCTTCAGAATCTGGATGGTCGTCAGAAAGGTTTCTTGTGATCGAAGACGTCGGAGGCGGCTGCGATTTTTTCAATAATGACGACATTTCACAAGGAACGTCTAACGTGGAGGTTACACGTAAATTTTGAATTTTTTGTGTTGTTTGTGAAATCGTTTGGTGTATTTTGATCAAAGGGGGTTTTAACGAACAATTTTAATTTTTTGGAGAGAAAGGATGATGAAATTGATAAAAATAAGGAAAAAGTTTTATAACCCGAAAAAGAACTTTGAGAGGCGTTGGCTATGACTAGCAAAGATACTGAAAATTTTCAGTTTCGTCCAAAATTCATCAAAAAAACGTTGAACAGAATATCAGACCCAAAATGTTTGGATTAGTATTTTCAACCCTGCGGGAAGGGGGGGGGGGGGTTACTCATTTTGTTCTGAACCTCTGAGAAAGCTAAATAACTACTCAGCTTTAAATTAAGCCTTACATGAAAAAAATACCCGAATTTTCAGCCTAATAACCATTTTAGTTTTTCTCTAAAGCTCGAAAACCAATTCAAAGTCCACTAAAATTACTTTAAACTAAAGTCCAGACGAGGCAAAAGCAGCGAGACCAAAACGCATTGGAGGCAAGTGGTTTCGAGGCCGGAAAAGGGCAAATCGAACGGAAAAAAGGAGTGGAAAAAAACCAAGGAAAGAACAGAAAATTAATCTGTGTCTCTGTGTCTGTGTGTTTCTCGCCCCCACTGAAAAGCAAATTCGAAATTCATAAGTGTCGTGAAAAATGACTCCCACTTTTCAAAATGATCTCTCCTTTTTTCTTCTCGCCTAAGAAATCGTACTGCACCTCTACCTTGAATAGAGAAAAAAGGCTTTTAATAAGAAACTTTCTGGAAATAAGGTTTCTAGTAATGAGTAGATTAAACGCCTCTCGAAGGAGTTCATGCCGTGTTCAAAGTGATTCCGCGAAATGCAAAATACCTGTTAGAGAAAGAAAAAGATAACTAAATTTTAGAGAGTCAGACATTATTTTCTACTTCGCGGAAATTACTATGATCACGGCATAACTGAAAAAGTGTACGAAGAATATGAAAAACTTCCTATTTGTATACAGAAAAGTTCAAAGAGCTTGAATTGGGAAGAATTCGCAGAAAATCTTGTATTGATGAGGAAAAGAAAAAGGGAAAATGAAAGATTTGAAAAAAATCTTCTGCCAGCGGTTGAAAAATCTTATATCATCGTCATCCAAAATTAGAAAAAGCTTCAACCAATTTTTACAATCCAGGTAATATAAAAAAGGTAGAATCTACCTAAAAACAATCTCAAGGTAATCACGAAGAAGCTCAAATGAATGTGTGGAACAAAAGTTGGTTTCGGAGGGCAAAACCTTCGTTCAACACGGGAAGAGGGGCTGTTTGCGGAAGGCGCCGTAAGCCGCGCCGAACAGTCGCTGAGCCGTCGTAAGCCTATTCCAGGACAGGTGACGTCACACAACACACACATATATACACAACTCCTACTTTTATGGATCATTTTTCCCCAATAAAAGATGTTTTTCGAGATTCGAACGCCTCAAAATGACGATTGCGGGCTTTCGAAGCGATTTTGTGAAATGATGGTCATTCTAGAAATCTATCAAACAGGTAACAGCTTGTAGAGATTTTCATCAGGTATCTTTTGAGGAGCTAGGAATAAAAAGCCTCCAGGATCGTGCTCAAGGTGACCAAAAAACCAAGTCCGCAAACACAAAAAGTACCGTAACTCGAAATTTCTTCCCACAGTAACCCAATTTGGTATGTACTAAAAAAGCTTCCAAAACTGAATTACCTATCGATTGATATACCATTCGCCACTAAAAAGTATACGATTCGCCTCGAAAAAATTCATCATTCCTTAGATACGCAGGTGCCTACCGTAACCTGGCTGTAAGAGGAAAATGGCTCAAAAAGTTATAACTTACTTCGTACCTAAAACTTCAAGTTATGAAAAAATTGAATGAAAACATAACCTTTCGCTCAAAAAAAAAGAAAAAAATCCAAAAGGACGTGAAAAAGGCGTCTTCAGAAGATTAAACATTGATGATTCACACTCGCTCTCTTTTTCAGCCCAAATCTAGGGACCGCAAGCCATTTCTTCAGAACGATTCAAAAAATATGTTTTTTACATTGTTCGATAGAGGAGACTGTCCATTTTAATAATCCGTTTAGTTTTTGAAAAAAGCTCCACTAAGAAAAAATTTATGGCCAAAAAACGAGCGCGCGCGGCGTACAACTGGAGGCAAAATCTCACGGTTTACCCGCTGCCGCACGCTTTCTTTTTAAATGTTTTTGCGTGTTTCTGGACCGTTTTTTTAAATCGGTTTTCTGTTCTGAGAGGTTGTCCGAACTGAGCCTCAAGTTTTGGTATGAATCTTTTGTACAATCCTCATAAGAATTTTTTTGATAAAATATCAAAAAAACTACCTAGAAAAAAAGGTCAAAGAGATTTTTTTAGCTTATTTTTTTCTTTTTCTACTCAGAAAAAAATTATTATCATTCGATTTGGAAAAAAAGAAAAAAATGAAAAAAATAATGTTATTTCGAAATAAAAACAGGAAAAAAAGGGCAATTTGACTCCGAAAAAAACGGCTCCTGCAACATTTAAAAGGACGCATCGGTGTGTTTGACGCAAACATTGCTACGGACACTTGCACGAAATCTTCCAAAAATTTCAAAAAAATTGCCATTATTTCGAGGGTTTTTCAAAGCCGTTATTTTTTTCGCGTCGATCGATTTTTTTCATAATTTTTTTCATCGATAGAGTTTTGAACGCTTAATAACCTGATCAAAAAGTATAAACGCGATCCTATTCTCTCATGCGTCAACGAGGCAGGCGAAAAAAAGGAGGTTTTGGTAAAAACTCAAATATAATTTGATTCGCTGTCCCAATAATTATTTTCATTTTGAATTTTTTTATTTTTTTGGACACACTGTTAGTTTTTAAATCAAATAAAAAAAGTATACCATGTCGCTGAAATTTTTTCGCATTTCAGCTTCAAAGTTTGGTGTCACTTTACAAGCTTTAATATTTTTTTCGCGTCGGTAGATTTTTTTTCATTTTTACTCAAAAAATGAAGAAAGTGTTAATGTATAACATACTTAAAATTTAGAAGCGTTCCTCACTTGGTTTTCAGAAACGCGACGATTTTGTGAAACTTGTCAGTTTTTTTCGTGTTAAATCTTACTTTTTCGCTTATTTTTGAAAAATACATAGTTTTAAAAATATTCAGTCTTGTAGAGCGTTGTCGATTACATAGATTAACAGAAACAGTTCATTTTTAAAGTGGGACTTTAGCTAGTATAAACGCCTCAAAACCGTTTTTGCAACAAAAAAATCGTCATTTTGGTGGCGTGAAGGGGCGGGGCTTTGCGCCCCCTACCCAAATCCCATAAAAAACGTTGCCAAATTCTTGGATTCCTCGTCCCAATGTGTATTTTGACGCATCTTTGATATTTCCATGATAGCTCAGTTCTTCTTCCAGAAACTAGGTTTTTTTCTCTCGAGGCAAACTTTTTGAGACAAGGAAGCGGTCTCGGAATCGGATTTTCTTCCAAATCCGCTGCTTCAAATTCAAATTCGTTTGGGAACGAAATTGAGTGGGCCTTTAAAGAAGGTAAAATAGGTGGTTGGCGGTGCCGGTAAACAAAAAAAAAAAGGAGAAAATGACTTGTATTATTTGATTACTTTCAGGAAACTAGCTGAAAAACTATTTTTGATTCAAGCTCTTAAATGAAAAATTACAATCGAAAGAAATCTATAGAATAAATAAAAGACTGAGGTTTTTAAAAATGCAAAACATCCAAATCTGACGGTGAGCCGTATAAAAATTGGAGCTCGAGGAAAATTGAAAGATAAAAATTGAATAAAAAAGTGACTTATAGCTGTGATTTTCTCAAAAACAACGAAATCCTTTTTTTTCGGCTCATCGTAATTAAACTATTCCAGTGAAAACTGAGAAACTTCGAAGTTTCGGCTTGAATTTCCATAAACAAATTAGAAGCAAGATACCAACAGCATCCTGAAGAGACTCCAGACAAGTAGAGATACTCCTATTTCTCTAGCGTCTCTTCAGGCCTCATGGATCTCTCGCTTATCTTCAAAATGTTCAAAATTCATTCGCTTTTCTAAAGTTCTCGTTTGAAAAAATAGAGATTATATCAAGTGATCAAACTAAATTCAATAATTCAATTGAATACTTATTGACAAATTTAAAAAGTGTAAAAAAAACAGCCGAGCTGGCGGCTGGTACAGAAAGGCAACAAAAAGGGAGGAGCAGGACAACAGGAAAAAAATAAAGCGCGTTGTCCAAAAAAGGAGAAGAAAAAAAAACGACTCTTCTCGCCACATATAGTGGACTCTACCGCGGGCGGCTGCCCATACATGAATTTATTGATCCCACATGGCTACTCAGGCCCTCAGGGCAATGGAGAAGGAGGAAAGGCAAAAAAAGAGGAGGCAAAAAATGGCTGGCTGGCTGGACATGACATGCGTGGAGGGGTTGGACCTTCTAATCAAGGAGCCTGGACGAGCGTTTCAGGAAGAATTTTCGAACTCAGGAGCCTCTTGATTTGAGCAAAAGCTGTATGATCAACTATTAGAATTTTCTTCTTTTGAACGAAAAATCGCCACGGTTAGAGCTTACTGCTCGCACTGGGAATGGCTCGAAGAGTTGCGGTTTGAATTTTAAAAAAACCCAGAAAAAGCACTTCGAAAATGATTATAAATTTTTTTTGAATAACCTTCTATATCGAAATTTCACTCTCTGTCACCTATAAAGTTACAGTTTTAGAGTAGAAAAGAGTTTTTTCAAGTAAATTTCGATTATAAATTTTATAAGAACGTATAAATCTCGTTCTACACATCCAAAACATTTATTTAATGAATTGAAGTTTCAAAAGGTCAGTAAATTTTTTTGAAGCTTCCTTATGAACTTCAGTATCCAACAAGGAACAAAGAAACCTAATCAAATTATTTTTCAAGCCATATACGAACTTCAAAGGCTTCGCAAGCATATTTCCTGTTCTATGTTTAGTTTGAATGACTTTAAATCAAAAAAAAAGA